GGTTGATCGGGTTGAAGACATTTGAACAACCCAACTCAATGTTTGCGGTTTGGAAAAATCTTAACCCAGCCCAACCCAAACCAAAGTGCAACCCAACCCAATGTGATAACCGGGTCCTAGTTATTATCCAAGGTATTTATTATGTGAATTAATTGTCTATGTGGATACATGCTTACATGGGTTAAAAACGTGAGTATGTGTATTTTACACATAGGTATTATATGCATAATATAAAATATATATGTATGCATAATATGTGAGCATGGTATATGTGTGCATGCATGAAGTAGCATGCATATGAGTGGTAATGCATAAGAGGCGGTTGAGCCGCCATACATTTTTAGAAAGGTATAAAAAAAGAGAGGTTAAGCCTTCATTGTACTCTTCTGGTTTCTATTTTTGAAAAGATTGAGCGATTTATAAAGAAGGAGGTTTGACCGGATTAATTTCAACGGATTCAAGAAGCATTCTCAAAAGATTTTATAAGGTGAGTGGTTAAATTGTTTTGAACCTCTTGAATTGCATATTGAATTATGTTTTAAAAGCCTTTTACATGATTTAAGCTTTACTCGGATTAGTGTTGAGCGATTTTAAGTTAAACCAGACAAAGGGTGAGCGGTTTAAAGCTTAATCGGTCAAGACATGAGCGGTTTAAGGCTAAACCGCCTAAGGCACTAATCGACATGGTCTTAAACCGGACAAAGGGTTGGGCGGTTTACTCATAAATCAGACACTTGTTGACCGGTTTAGTCTAAATCACACATAGTGTGTACGATGTAGGGAGTTAGTGAGATTTGAACTTTATAAATCACTTGATTACATTGATCGGAGAAGTATGAATATGATTAAAGGTGACCGGCTTATTTAAATTGGACGAATATGCAAAGTTTGTCCGGATTAGTAATCCGGACAAAAGTGTTGAGAATTTACTCTAAGTGTTAAATCGGACACAGTGAAGTGTTGACCGGATTAGTAATCAGGCCAAGGTTTGACCGGATTATGTTTTGACATATCATTTCGTTGATTTTTGTTGAGAAATGGGAATTTTTGATAAAAAAGAATTTGAACTGATAATAATTCCATTGACTGCGGTCTATTCTATATGAAATTGTTTTGTGAAAATATTTTGATGGGGAAATAAGGATGGCATATCAAGGAGAGGTGTACCATGGGATAAGGGTGACATATCAAGAAGAGCTGTACCATGGGATAAGGGTGGCATATCAAGAAGATGTGTACATTTGGATATAAGGGTGACATTTGTATGTGCGTTATGTAATATAACTCTTATTATTATATCCTTTAAGATTACCGTGGTTTGGAATCTTTATTTTTTGTGATTTAAAGGTTTAGGATCAGGGTTCTTACTAGAAATCATAATCTGGATGTTATTGAGAAGAAGATAACAGGTTTGGCATGAAACTTTGAATAAACCTTATTTGATTTGAGAGGTTTAAAAGTGGCATTATGATAATTTGGTTAATGCGAACCTGTTTGGATTTGATGTATTGTTTGCAAGCAGAGAATTTGGCTTGAGAAATGAAAGGTATTGGTATTATGTTTTACTTGTTCATATATTTGTTATATATATATATATGAAAAGTTGTTTTACTTAAAAGTTTTGGTGATTTTCACCCTGCAATAACATAAATAGGGTAACTCACTAGACCTTTTGGTCTAACCCTCGTTTTGTGWTTTTAAATATGTATTGTAGAAAGTATAGAAGGTAAGGGAAAAGGGAAAATGTGATAAATTCCTTATGTGTTTATCTGCATGAAGAATGGCTAATGATGATATGTATAGTTTTGGTAGATAAATCTTGATTAGTACAAGAATTGTATTTTGGAATTTTTTTGACCATGTATTCTGTAATGGTAGATTCTTGTAGTAGGAGACCTATGTGATATACAAACATGTATTTCTTGTATATGGAATATATGTTACAAGCAATATGTGGTATGGGGTGTTGCACCCAACCCAACCTGTACGGGTTGGTCCTTTGGTATATTAACCTTGAATATGTTATTTCTCTACTCATAATTTCTTTTTCACCATCAACCATTTGATACAACTGATGTGCTGGAATCATAAGTGTTCACACAGTGGGCACAAAGTCCCCACAGTGGCGGTGCAAGTGCACGCCGACACTATGATCGCTTTCAAGTAATAAAGTGGTATAGTATCAAGATCGTTTCGACAGGGACTGGACTTACTGAGAATCAGAGAGTTTCATGAACTTCTTGAGCATGTTTCTAGTTTTGAGAAAATAGTTGAGTTTTGATTGTGCAAAGCTTAGAAATACGAAATAAACCTTTGAAATTAAAAGATGGGTATGGGTGTAAGCTTTCCTTAAGAAAATTGCAGGAACAATTTGGTCAGAAACTCATGGACATCTATAAGAATTCCGATCTCTCGAAAGTGAATTCTTAAATACTGTGCCCACAGGCATAGAGTGCCCACAAAGCGTCCAGTTTTATCAATATTAAACTTGCCAAATTAGCTAATATATAAAAAGATATATGGTTCCACTAGCCTGAAGATTTATACTCAAATCTCTTTGTAGTATAACTTGACTAATATTTGAACATTAGCTAAAAACATGCAGAATCCGCATCTCTGCGTGATTATCAAAAGACTCTCTCAAATTTTTGTGCATCATCTAAGCCGTATTTCAGATCCGCCCATCTCCGGATCAAGGATCTAATATTAACACTTCAAAGTGATCAGCTTATCTGCATTGAGCTTAAGTCCCGACTTAAATGACCAAGCTTAAGAATTAATAAAATTGGCAACACCCAAGTGCGCCTTCAAATTTTTAAGTTTGACTCACACCCACACCCAAAGGGGTGATTAGCTCATAATAAAATTAGAAAACATAGAGGAAACAGAAGAAGAAAAATGCATAAGAAATACTTGAACTGAAAATAGTACTTAAACTGTTGCCCACAGAGAGCATACAATACACAGTGGCAAGAATTAAAGACTAAATACCAAAATAAAATTAAATGCAGAAATTAAACTTGCTCTACTGCTCTAGAGCTTGAGATAATGCTCCAAGGTTGCTTGGCTGAATTGTTGATTGAATGATGTCTTCCAAATGAGAGAAAAACTTCAATATATAGTGAAAAAGTGAGAACCGGACAAACTCTTCGCCCAAAGGAAGAAAGTCTTCATTGACTAGAGGGTAAAGACCCCCATCACTTCTTGTCTACTTTCCAGGCCTTGTCACTTTTTTTTGAAAGGTTGAAAAAAGTAAAGTTACCTAACCCTTAAATTAAGGAAAAGGTAATGAAACCATTTTCATTAAAATAATAGTAGAGTTACTTTTAAGACATTTTTTAATCCAACAAGGCCCATTCTTCTAAATAATTCAAGAATTTCGGATCTGACTTCAGAATTAAATTCCTTTAATACCCATGAGAGCCAATATTTGAATTTTGTCCAAATCCGTCTTGAGAAAAATATGCCATGAAAGAATGTAAGCAGAAAGTGGGCATTATACCAACAACAATGGTTTTTCAGAAAATAATCAAATTCTTGACCTTTCATCACCTCTTAACATATTTTGGACCAAAAATACCAGATAGGAGCAAAGTGGGTACAAAAGACACATAAAATAGAGGTATTGAACAACAAATAACTCTCACAAATTGAGAGATATCAACAACTTATCCATATTTCTTACTTATATCCCATTCAGTTTATTTTCTCAATTTACATATATATGTTCATAGTTACTGAACATATATATAAATGAGTTATATAGAGATATGAATAGATTGAAAATATACGTATATGAAAAACATACATGATAGTGTAATTGTCTAATGTATGTATTAATAGAAATTCAACAATCATATTAAATCCAAGAAATAAAAGGATATCGGGTTCATCGGGTTGGGTCGGGTTCAAATAATAGTACTCAACCCAATACCTACGGTTTGATAATTTTACAACTCGATTAGACATCGAGTTGCTTCGGGTTGGGTTATTTCGCGTTGGGTTGGGTTGGGTTGGTCGGGTTTTTGAGCACCCCTACTAACATCTGTGTACAAAATGATAACCAAAAATATTTTACTGCTTATTTATCAAAAACAAATTACAAACAATGTAAACCCTAGATTACATATAAGATCTAGCTAGCTAAATTGAGAAGAAGACGAGAGAGGATTTTAGGGAGATTAGAAAAATGAAAACTGAGAATTCTTGAGAAAAGAATTCTATTTATATTTATAAGATATTTACAGAAGAGACCCTGAATAAAATAAGAAATGCTCCGCTACCCTCCATGAGTTCCAAAAAGTGAGGCGCAGTCCTTAAGCCCTTTAACTTTCAAACTTTGACAGTACAGGTTCTTATTAAAAATAAACTTGACAAAAAAAGAACAAAAGTTAAGATTGTTAAAAATACAATATATTTCAACACTCGCCCTCAATCTTGACTTTTGAATAAATCAATCATTCTCAACTTTGAACATAAAAAATTATTATGATTAACACCAATAGCCTTTGTGAAGACATCGGCACGTTGTTCAGAAGAATTCTTTTTACGACTTTTAACAGGGCCGGCCCTGAGATTTTGGATGCCCACGGCGTAAAGTCAAAAAAATGCCCCAAATACGTGTAAATAAAAACCAAAATAAACTATTTGAAGGATTTTGGAACTTAGTCAATCTAACAAAAAAGTGTCCCTTAAATATAACAAAAATGATGCAATGGGGGGAACATAAACCAAAACCCCGTGTAACAAAAGATAAAGTACACCACGGGGGGACATAAACCAAAACCCGTGTAACAAAAGATAAAGTACATCACGGGGGGACATAAACCAAAACCCCGTGTAACAAAAGATAAAGTGCATCACGGGGGGACATAAACCAAAACCCCGTGTAACAAAAGATAAAGTACATCACCATTCACCTAAAACGATGTCTTCTTGCGTTTTTTGAAGCAAAAATATCTATCACTTCGTCATAACTAATATTAGCTAAAAACTTACTCTCAATACTCAAGATTGCTAACCCGTTCAATCTTTCTTGACTCATGGTAGACCGTAGATATGATTTCAACAACTTTAACTTTGAAAAGCTTCTTTCCGCAGATGCTACGGTCACCGGTACGTTCAATAGTATCCTGTAAGCAAGCAAGACATGTGGAAACATGTCCATTTTCTTTGCGAACTCCATAATTTGTATCGATGTCCAAGGATTTCCACTTTTAGATGCCTCTTCTGGTAGCATTCCCTGCAAAACTTGTAACTCCATAAACAAATATTCACCATCAATATCAGAATCATTACCATTTGTTAAAGCAAGTTGAAGGTTCAAACAACATTTTTTTAACTCGTCATCATGTAAAGTAACCAAATTTCGCCCATCAAACAAGAAGCCAAACATAGATTCAAATTATTGCATTTGTTCAAATCTGGTTCGTAACTGCAAAAGAGCCATATCAACTAAAACAAGAAAATAATCAGTTCTAAATGTCTCTTGAGCAGATTGTTATTCTCTCTCGTATTTGGAATTTCATCAAAATTGTTTTTTCCTTGATAAAAAACATTTTACAGCAAACTCAGGTTCAATTCCAATATTACTTGCAATCTCTTTGGCTTCACGAATGGCACATGTAAACCCACTTTCCCTATATTTTTCAAAATATTCAACTAATCCCTTTAGATTTTGTATTGCAACATCAAGAAGCATATCTTTAGACTATAACCTCTTGCTAACTAAATTAATTCTATACAGAATTTCATGCCAAAACCAAACTTACAATAAACTCAAAACTTGAAAGCTCACCATTAACCAAAGACTCGGCTTCCCTACACACTCTTCCATCCTCACTTACTTGAGCCAATTGTACTAAAGCATCTCTAATTTGGCCAACTTGAGTTTTGATAGCTTTAACACTTTCAATATGACTTTCCCATCAAGTAGCAGATAAAGATTTCAAAGTCAAATCATCAATATATTCTAATAAAACAGTCCATCTCTTTGTAGAATTAGAAAAGACATTGTATATGGCTTGACAAGTACCAAAAAAGGTTTTTGCTTTGTGACAAGAATTTGCCATATCACATAAAACTAAATTAAGAATATGACAACCACATGACATATAAAAGGCTATAGGATTTATATCAAGTAATTTTTTTTGCACACCTTGATGTTTCCCTTTCATATTAGAGCCATTGTCATACCCTTGTCCCCGCACATAATTGATATCCAAATCAAGTGATTTCAAAACATCTTGTAATACATTAAAAAGTCCTAAACCAGATGTATTTTCTACCACCAAAAACTCTAAAAAGAACTCTTCTACTTGTATAGGAGAGCTAGACATGTCAACACATCTTAAAATCAAAGTCATTTGTTCTTGATGACTTGCATCCGGAGTACAATCAAGAATAACTAAAAAATATTTTGCCTCTTTGATCTCTTTAATGATTGCACTCTTAACATTAGATGCCAACATGTCAATCAATTCATTTTGAATTTTGTGGCTAAGATAATGATAATGAGTTTTTTTTTTCTTTAATACGCTGAAAGTGTTGTTTCATAACCAGATCAAACTCAGCAATCATTTCAATTAAGCCCAAGAAGTTACCATTAGATTCTTCAAATAAATTTTCATTTTTCCCATGGAAAGCTATATTATTCTTTGCTAGACATTTAACAACAACAATAATTCCAACCAAAACTTCTTTCCAGTGATCAGTATCCTTTTTTATTAAAACTTGTAGCTCTTTATCAAGCGTTTCATTTTTACTCAATCTCAATCGCAATTCGAACCAAATTCCCAAGCTAGTCATATGCTCAATGCTATTTTCATGAGCGCTTAATYGTTGACCAAGATGTTTCCAATCACTTAATCCAACACTTGCTAATTGGCTTTTTGACCGGCCTTCTTTGAAAAGTTTGCAACAAAAACAAAAGACTTTATCTAGCTCTTTTGAATAAACTAACCACTTTCTATCATGACAATCACCATTGCGTAACTTACGAACATAAAATTCATCAGAGAAGTGTCTACCTATATTATCTCTAGGGAAATTGATGTTAGTTTCCCTAATAGGCCCTTTTTCAACAAGCAAATACTTCATTTTAGAATTTAGCATATCCCAAATTCTTGGATCAAATATATTCAAACAAACATCACTAGAAGCATCAAAAGCATTTGTATCAAAAGCATTTGCATCATACGTATTTGTATCACAAGCATTTGCATCACACGCATTTGTACCACAAGCATTTGCATCAAAAGCATTTGTATCACAAGAATTTGCATCAAAAGAATTTGTATCACAAGCATTTGTATCACAAGCATTTGCATCACAAGCATTTGTATCACAAGCATTTGCATCACACACATTTTCATTTTTATCACTAGTATTTTGAGAAACATTTGGTTGTCTAACAATAAACTTATTTAAAGATCCTTGCAAAGATTGAGCAATTTCTTCTTGCCTTTTCTTTCTTTCCCTATTTTGAGCACCCGATGGTTGTGATCGAGGCAACATAACTTAAGTAGTTAAATTGTTAAACAAATGATACCATATAAAGAATAGAAAGATAACACCTGGATTTGGTCCTTCGTGGTTCGTGGTTGTGAAATTGCCAAGAAAGTAGACCGATTAAGCAACCTGGACAAAACAATCAAACATAAGCATCAATTTCACAATCACAGCCCTAATTTCTAAAGCGTAAACAACCCTAATTTCTAAAGAGGAAGTGAAAGTGACCAAATTCAAACTTCATAGCTTCTGTTCATTATTATGTTTTGCAATCAAGAATTAGAAAATTAAAACATAAAATAACTTAATAAGTAAAGGAAATAAGTAATAAAAATATAAAATAAGTTAATAAATAATAACCCTAACTCTAAGTTAAGTTTCACACACCTCACTCACAAGTCACAACAACAGCAGTAGGTGCAGTACTCAGGAGTCTGTTTCTAGAGATTAGAGAGTAGAGAGCGACAGAGGCGCAAGCCCATAGAGAGTGACGGTCGACGAGTCACGAGAGAGTAGAGACGTCGGCAGCCGGTAGACAGCCGCAGACCAATGGGCGATGGGCGACGGGCGATGGGCGATGGCAGTCGGCTATTCGGGACGAAGTCTGAGTCAATAGTCGAGAGAGCAAGAGCGTTTGCGATTGCGATTGGGAGTGAGTCGGTGAGAGCGTTTGCCCTTGTCGTTTGCGATTGAGAGTGAGTGAGCTGTGAGCGAGGTAGGCCGTAGGCGAGGCGAGCAAGAGTTGATGATGGATGCGTGGACTGCCGACTAGACTAACGGTAATTTTTTTTGGCCTAAATGAAACTGAACCTATATAATACTTTGGGCTTTAAAAATTTTGATGCCCTTGGGCCAGGTGCTGTCCTGGGCCGTCGCCCCCTGGGCCTATAGCCAGGGCCGACCCTGACTTTTAACAATCCCTTACTAATTTTCCCGAATTTGATGAATATCAAGTTCAATATATTTAGTATAGCAGATTTATTATCACAAAATAGACTTACAGGAAGTAAAAATCTTTTATATTTAAATGTGCTAGAATTTTGAGAACCTAAATAATTTCACAAGTGGCAGAAGCCATGGCACGATACTTAGATTCTTCAAAAGGGCGAGAAACAGTACTTTGTTTCTTACTTTTCCAGGATATCATGGAGTTACCAAGAAATAAACAAAAACCAATAACAGAGCGTCTAGATGAAAGACACCCCAATCAGCGTCAACAAAACATTTAAACAAAAGTTTTCACACCTGGTAAAGTTGACACTCTTACCTGGAGACAAATTCAAATATATGAGAATTCTAAGAGTAAGATTCAAACAAGATTGTCTAGGTGAATGCATAAACTGACTAAGACAATGAACAACAAAGGCAATATGTGGTCTAGTAGCTAGAAGATAAATCAATCTTTCAATTAACCTTTAATATTATGTATAATCAGTTAAAGGGGGTCTTTAGAATTACTAGAATCAGTTACAATTAAGTTCATATCCATAGGTGTACTACAGGGTTTACACCCTAAATATCAAAAGTCATTTAGTAATTCTATACGATATTTCTCCGAGACATATCAGACCCCACCAATACAATATAAAGTTTCAATCCCTAAGAAGAACTTTTATTTTCCTAAGTGTTCAATAAGAAAGTTACTTTTCAAGTACTTCTTTACTTTGTTTCAGTTTGATTATTTCCATTTATAACAATATCATCTACATAAACCAATAGAATAAGAAAAACAAATCCAACGCTTTTAGTAAACAAAGAATAATCACTAATGCTTTGAATAAAACCATGATCAATTAAACAAGAATAAAGTTTAACATACCATTGACGAGAAGCTTGCTTTAAAACATACAGAGATTTAACAAGTTTACATACACGTTTATCTTCTAGATTATAATAACCCTCAGGTAACATCATATAAACATCTTCAATTAAATCTCCATATAAAAAAGCATTATGAACATCTAATTGAAACATATAACATTTTATTTTAATTCAAACAACAATTGAAAACTTGCTCATCAAGATATATGAATATAATCACAAATTTTATTTGTGCTGTCATTTTTGTTAGGTTTTGAATTTTTAAACTTTCTTTATGAATTACATATACATCAAACAAACTCATTCATGCATGCAACAAATTCCTATTTGAGATCAAGTTTTAGGGTGCAATCGCACGTTTGTAAGGTATCTGAAAAAAATCCCTCCTATTTTTAGCATAAAAAGTTACATACTCAATCTTCATCTATGTCAGAAATTTTTTTTTATAGGATTAGCAACATATATTGTAAGATTGTATTCCGACGTTTTTTTCTATTTTTTTGAAGTTGATGTGCTTTTCTTTGTCAAAACACAATATTAACATAAATTTACCACTACAATTTTTTTGTTTTGTTTTTTCAATAATTTGGCATCAATGTCAACATATATCGAGTGTTGAAATACCTATACTTGACCGTATTCAATAAAGTTAATTATAGTAAATTTGTTATATTTATATTGTTAATTTAAACTTTTGAATTGTCTACAGTTTCATGATTCAGTAACATTGATTTGTAACTACTTAACGTGTACAAATGACAATTCATTTATATTATTCATAAAAGTAATTAGTAATTTGTTATTATCACATACTAATTTATATTAATGATTAATTAATTTTAGTTATCCATTTGTAATTAAAATTGTATTTAAAATACT